TGATCATATTACCAAAAAGTATAAGAGTCGGTTATTTTTATTTTATTTCTCATGATTCTCTTATAAGTGGTTGCCCAGGCCTTCCCAGTTTCCCTTAACACGGAATTTACATGTTTTTTTCCCATATTAGACTAATTGGTAAATCAGATATTTCCCGTTCATGTGGTGATATTAAAAATTTAACTTGGGGCGAGAAAAAATTTTCAAAATTATAATGGGTAGGACTGGGCTTGGAACCTCAAAATTAATATTAGCTTACACCTGACTTGGGAATAGTGTTGCGTAATCGGCTAAAAACTACGCCTAAACCTAATAAGGCTAAGCCTAAAAATCGGCTAAGCCTAATTAGGTTAAGCCTAAAAATCGGCTAAGAAAATATAAATCTGCTAAAATTAAATTAGTCAAAATTCTGCATCGATGCTTAGTATTAATTATTATTTATTTATTTTAGTAAAATAATTTATTTTATTTATATTTAATGTAAATATTTTATCATTATCAACAAATAAACATGATATGATTTAATATTTTTTATTTATATTATTATATTTTGAAATGAAAATAAATTTATTTATTTGATGTTATTTTAATAAAAAAAATAATGCTGCTATATTGTAAAAATGTGATATTTAAAATAAGCATTAGTAACATGTGAAATATATATTTAGTGAAGATGTACCAATGAAAAGTGACAATTGTCATAATCGTTATTCTTAAAGTTTTTTGAATTTTTTTAACGAAAATATTTTAAAATAATTATTGATAACATGTTTAAATAAAAATTTAGTGAAGATGTACTCTAGATAAGCGACAATTGTCATAATCATTATTTTTAAAGTTTTTTGATTTTTATTGACAAAACTTTAAAAATAGCGATTATGACAATTGTCACTTTTCATTGATACATCTTCACTAAATTTATATTTACACATGTTATTAATACTTATTTTAACATATTTTCGTCAAAAAAATTCAAAAAACTTTAAGAATAACGATTTAGAGAATTGTCACTTTTCTATGGTACACCTTCAGTAAATTTATATTTACACATGTTATTAATACTTATTTTAACAAATTTTCGTCAAAAAAATTACAAAAACTTTAAAATTAACGATTATGACAATTGTCACTTTTCATTGGTACATCTTCACTAAATTTATATTTACACATGTTATTAATACTTATTTTAACATATTTTCGTCAAAAAAATTTAAAAAGCTTTAAAAATAACGATTATGACAATTGTCACTTTTCTTTTATGGTACTTCTTCACTAAATTTATATTTACACATATTATTAATACTTATTTTAACAAATTTTCGTCAAAAAAATTCAAAAAACTTTAAAATTAACGATTATGACAATTGTCACTTTTCATTGGTACATCTTCACTAAATTTATATTTACACATGTTATTAATACTTATTTTAACATATTTTCGTCAAAAAATTCAAAAAACTTTAAAAATAACGATTATGACAATTGTCACTTTTCATTGGTACATCTTCACTATATTTATATTTACACATGTTATTAATACTTATTTTAACATATTTTCGTCAAAAAATTCAAAAAACTTTAAAATTAACGATTATGACAATTGTCACTTTTCATTGGTACATCTTCACTAAATTTATATTTACACATGTTATTAATACTTATTTTAACATATTTTCGTCAAAAAAATTCAAAAAACTTTAAAAATAACGATTATGACAATTGTCACTTTTCTATGGTACATCTTTACTAAATTTATATTTACACATGTTATTAATACTTATTTTAACAAATTTTCGTCAAAAAAATTCAAAAAACTTATAAAAGAACGATTATGACAATTGTCACTTTAAAATATTATCCTTAATTAAAAGATCATATAAAATAACATCAAAAAAGTTTCATAAAATCCACCTCATTTAATAATAAATAGATAATTTAAAAAAAATGATAATTTACAATATAATTCCTCAATAAAAGATGTATTTACAAAGAAGATTGTGAAAATCACTAATAAATTATATTATAAAGAATATTACATTTTTACAATATAGCAGCATATTATTTTTTTTATTAAAAAAACATCAAATAAATAAATTTATTTTCATTTCAAAATATAATAATATAAATAAAAAATATTAAATCATATCATGTTTATTTGTTGATAATAATAAAATATTTACATTAAATATAAATAAAATAAATTATTTTACTAAAATAAATAAATAATAATTAATGCTAAGCATCGATGCAAAATTTTGACTAATTTATTTTAGCCAATTTTTAGGCTTAGCCGATTTTTAGGCTTAACCTAATTAGGTTTAGCCGATTTTTAGGCTTTACCTAATTAGGCTTAGCAGATTTTTCCACCTAAAATCTCGGCTAAGCCGTTTTATAGTCGGCTAAAATTAGCCGATTACGCAACACTACTTGGGAATATCTTTTACAAATTATTAAGGGTTGAGCTGGGCTTGGATAAACTTTTTTAAAATTATAAGATCTTGGATGCTTCTTAATATTGTGATCTTGAACCTGGCATCTATCGTAAAAATGAATAAAAATCTCATTCCCCGTCATTTTTGACGGGCTTACTACTAGTATATATACTTTAATAACTTAACGACTATTAAAATGTAACTTCATATTATATATAATTATCGTAACCATTATAAAATATTAATTTAATATTTACAATTATAAAAAAAATTAAAGAGTTATATAAAAATTTTAAATTTCAGTTATATTTGTTAATTGCATAAGATAAAGTTGGGCCGCGTCGGTTCACGACTGGCGACTATTTTTTACTCTAGGAATTTAGATTGGATCGGGACGACAAAATCAATTTATTTTTCGTACTTTAGTACACATTTTAAATATTTCTGTAATATTATAATACTTTTACTTTTGCCTAAAATGATATTTTTTTAAATCCAAAAATATTTTTTTGTTTACACAGTAATTTTAATTACTAGTCCTCAAACATTTTTATTTGATTATGAACTAATTTTTTATGCTGAAATTTAATATTTTAAAAGAAAATTTGGGTCATTTTTATCCCTTCATATAATTACCGCATTTTTACCTCTTTATATATGAAAATTAACTTAAATCTACTATTATATAAAAAAAATTAAAAGAAAAACGTTACCCCTTCGGTTTAAATTGGTGTTTGCCTTTAATTAAATATAAATAGACGATCAGTAGATAAAAAATATTAGCTGTGGATATTTTCGCTTTAAAATATAGACGATTTTTTTACGGCCGTTTATATTGACTATGGCACGTCTAGATTTTTTTTATTTGAAAAAAAATTATTTCATATTTTATTATGAATACTAAAATTGATAATTTATTTGAAATAACAATTGCAAAATAAAATTAATTATTTATCAAATATGATTATTGTCCATCTCAACGAAATTTATTTAATAACATGACCTGCGAGATTTGACAAGTTCTTTATTAAAATAAAAATCATTTTTAATATATCTTATTCCTGACTTGTATCTCTCAAATCTCTAATAAACCTTAACTCATATCTCTCCATCATTAAATCCTATATACTTGTTTAATTTTAAATATACCTCATCCAATTAAAAAATTTCCTTGAACTGCTGATTCCTCGAATTGAGTCATTATCCTTATTTATATATGTATATATTATAATAAATTTATTAAATAAAATTATTATATATAAAAATAATATTGTTTAAATTTTACGAGCATGGAAGGAATATTCTATTCAAAATGAATCCACGACCGAAAAAATCATTCACAGAGTGTTTGTTGTGATAGTTGGGTAACATATAATTTTTCTGGCTTGAGTTTTGGAAAATCTAATTTTTAAAAGTTAAGAGCATTATCTACCAATGAGAATAGAAGAAAAGCCGATCGTCCAGAATTTAAATCTGCTCATATAATTGACAAAAAAGTGGGGGTAGTTGTATTGTGGTGCACAGATATAATAAATGCGAAATTAATAACTGATAAATTTTTGCATTTCAAAATTATAATATTTGATAAAATTTTGTATTTTAACCCATAAAGCCCTGAATGAGCTCGAAATTTAAAATTTTTACATTTATCTTAGTATAGGTACCATTAACAGGCACCCTTTTTACCCCACAATTAAATGATGGTGTTAGCCCTCATTCCTACAATTTATCTAACCCCTTTCCACTATTTATCTAGCCCCATATCCGCTATATACCCAAATTTATTACCCCTAGAAAACTTTTTAGCATAGTAAAATTAGCAGAAAAATTAACAAAAAGGTGAATATATAAAAATTAACAAAATAAATACAATTTTCTATATTCTCAATCACTATTTATTCTATATAATTTATAAATCCATGGCATATGGTTTATTGTTACTAAAAAAAATACAAGTTTTAATAATTATTTAGAATAAATTGGTGATAAAAAAATAATTATATTACTATATGATAAAAATTATACAATGCACAACATTATTAAACACTGTGCATAGATAACGGTGAACCCCCTATGGAAAATATGAATTGGTAAAATTTATGTTTTCATAATATTTTATCTTGATATCTAGACGAAAATTTGCCTTCCTTTCTTTTAAATTTATAAAAACTCTTTCCTTATAAAATAAACTCAAAAATTTATTAAATTTAAACAAGTGCGCGAAAAAAACATAAAATTCTAGTAATACACAATACTATAAACATATTTTATTTTATAATCAAATTAAAAAAAAAATTTGTTACAAATTAAACTAAAACGATGTTTCCTTATAGTTTATAATTTTTATAGGATCGATATTTTATCATCTATATTTTCAATTGTAAAAACGCCATAGTATTACTTTACTTAGCAGACATCTTATCACTTGAGGTAATACATCAGTTATTATAAAAATAACAATAATAAATTTCTTCCGAAAATAAAATAATTTTTTATTATTTATAAATTTTTTATAGTGTATCTTCAGACCGGTCAAGATTTAGCACTCTCTTTAAATAAATATTAGATTTCAGTTTTACATACATTCGTTTATTTAATTATTAAAAGATTTTTAGCTGAAGTTTTAATCAAACAAACAATAATGCAAGGATTAGGAGGGAAACAGAGCCCAAATGGGTCGAATGTTATTTATTACCAAAACTCAGGTGACATATGTCAAAAAATTATGATGTTAATGTTGATTTTTTTTTATAGTTATGAATCGAGCTGACCTTACAACAAAAATTAAAAGTTTTAATTGTTCACCTAATGCCAAAGAATTTTTCCCAACCACAGTAAATAAATAATTTTTATTCAAAATTATCGATTTTTTTTAATTTACAGAAAACTGTGCCTTTATCTGCTGACGATCTTAAAAGTAAATTTGTTGATTTATTTCTATGTCAATTATATATATGACTTCTTAATTTTTGAATATTTAAATTCAATATAACAATTTGATTTTTTTAATACTTGCCTAAAGAATTTTCAGTTTTATTTATATTACTGAAATGTTAAAAGAAAGAATCAATTAAAAGTTTAATTACCATATAAGTGTTAATTAGTTATATTATTTCATAGTTTTAAGATTGATGTATATTATTTTAATAGTAATTTTAATTTCATTTTATCTTTACACTTATATCAAACACATTAGTTATGCAGTAATATCATTTTTTTTTGCTAATACTACCCAATCTATATAATTATAATGTAGTATTTAATATTTATGTTCTTTTATATGCTTGAAAAAAAAACTATCATTATTTATTTTACTTAAAATAAATACAAATAATTTTAATATAAATTGAATTATAAATATAAATTCTACAATTATTTAAATAATTATCTTTATTCGATATAAGTGAAAAGAATAATCAAAATCATGTCACCAATTTTATAAATAGAAGTAACATAAATATTGATAATGAAACTAATTAGTACTTCAAAAATCTATTTCCAAAAGTGTTCATTAACATATGTGTATTTAGTATTGTGCCAATTAAATGAATTGGATCTGGACCAATATTTAGTGTTTTTGTTTTTCAAAAACATTGGACTAGACTAATAATTTGAAAAAAATATGATACAATATTGTAATTTTTTTTATATTATTTTATATAATTTCATTAAAGTAATAAAAATTTAATTTATTTGTAAAGAAAAAATAAAATTTAAAAAAATTATAAAAAGTAGCTAAAAATTTGACATTTTTTTTGTTATATCTGCAACAAGTAAAGGTTTTAAAACTATTCAACAAGTTATATTACACTAGTGTTGTTAAATAGCTTTATTCAGCTCATTTTTAAAAATGTCTAACCATGATTTTATCAAAAATTTAATTATCTAAGCTCAGAGATTATGTCCAGAGTTGGCAGAAAAGTTTGGACATCTATTATCAACTTTGATGCTTTAGTTAATAATCTTTTAGATAAAATCTTGATTACTATTTTTAAAAATGTCTAACTCATGATTTTATCAAAAATTCAATTATCTAACAGAGATTATGTCCAGAGTTGGCAGAAAAGTTTGGACATCTATTGTCAACTTTGAGGCTTTAGTTAATAATCTTTTAGATAAAATCTTGATTACTATTTTTAAAATTTGACTACATCTTGGCATTTATCATCACTACATTCGGCTAATAAACGTAAATAAAATAATTAACTTTTTGAGAATAAAAAGAAAAACAAAATACACAAAAATTTGTGAAAGTTAAGTTTGCCTTTTTTTTTGAATAGAAAATATTAATTTTTTATGACATTGATTGATGGTATCCAATGATTTTGATACAAACCTGAAATTGTTGTATTTGTAATTATAAGTCTAGCAATACTAACAGATGCTATTAAAACATTTGTTGGTATTTAAATATGTACGTAAAGTTTTTCAAAAAAAATAAATTAGAGGCCTGAAATATCAAAATTACTTGGCCCCAACCTACTTGTAGCAGATCTACCAGGCTTGTAACTCATAGCTTTAGAATTGGAAAAACAAATTTAAAATAAAATATAAAATGATTTTAATGCGATTAAATTGATCTAAAAAGTAAAAAAAAATAAATATTATTTTTAAAGCAAAAGATTCCAGAGTACAAAGGGATGGGATGCCAAGGATCCTACTAATGATATATTTTTAAAAAATGATCAAATCTTTTATATTGTTTTAGAAAAACTTCTTCCATACCTCGATGAATTACGTTATGACCCCGGAATGTTGGATAAACGTTGCTTAGCGATATGTACCTTTCTTAGTTGTCAAAATTTAGGAAGTGAACTCCTGAATAATACTGTCAAAATAATAATTGCACATGTAAATAATTATATTTATTTAAATTTTTTGTCTTTGAAAATTTTATAAATAATGATCTGATATTTAAAATATTTTATTTTTAATATATATATATATTTAATATACAACCCTTTAAAAGTGTGAAGATTCCAACTTTAGATACTCAGGAGTTAGATTGCTAAATTTTTTGATCCACAACTTATCCCTTACACAGAGCGAGATGTTCAGCAATGCCATCTTTGACCTGTAATTTTACTAACATTTAAAAAAATTATGATAAATATTTTATCGAGGAAAGTGGAAAGAAAATAGTTTGAAGATAGGGAGCTAATTTTTTTTTCCTAAAGCTTAGTTTACTTGAGAAATGAAGGGGCTTGTTTTGCTATTTGATTTTTTTTTTGCATATGATAAGCCAATTTTAATTAATATTTATAGGCATTTTTACTTAATATAACTTTGTTCAATAATGCATCCCTCCCCCCTTAACCACCTATGTTTTTGAGCATTATGTATGCCCAAGCCAGCATCTTCAAATAATTTGATCTCCAATTTTTTCTTTACTACTAACTATAGTTGGTGGGTATTTACTATATTTTTAGCCGCTTAAGCTGATATTTAGCCGGCTAACAAATCGGTTAAACCAAGCTTTTAGCTGAAAGACGATCATTTTGTCCTCGGGCTGTTTTAACCGACATTTAGCCATTACCCAACTATACTCCTTACCTCATGAAAGATATATAAAGCCCCCCCCCCTCCCTCCCTCTCACCATGTGCGTTAATAAATAGCAAAGTGCAGAGGTACCATTGGCACACGTGAAAAAAATTTATCGGCTAGCATGGGTTTTAAATTTTCAGGCCAGACCGGCCTGTACATTAAACTTTTTTAGGACCGGCCCGTGTACCCGCCGGGCTTAGGGCCAGACCCACAGGTCTCTGATTAAAGAGTCAGAGTCAATTTTGTTGAATTTAAATAATCCTTATACACAATCATATTGCGAGAAAGATATTTTTAAAATGTTAAACATTCGTTTATTAGGGTCGAAGCAAAATACAAGGAAATATCGAATATGAATGTCGCAACTCAATCCGATCGCATTATTAATTTTGCTTTCCTTCTGGCTGACCTCTTTTGTCAAATTGATGTAAAAAAACATAAAATTACCAAATACTATCATGTTATATAAAGCATTGAAGTTTATATATATATTATTATATATTATATATCGTAGAATAGTGTTTGTTAAACGGCTCATTTTGAAGCCTATTTTTTTTAAAGATGGCTAACTCGATATTTTACCAGGAAAAATATTATTGCCAACCTTAAGATTTTGTTCATAGGTGGCACAAAGGTTTTTGAACATCTGTTAACGAAATCCCGAGGCTTTAGACAATATTTCTTTTTCTGGCTAAAATATTGAGTTAGCCATTTTTAAGAAATCGGCTCTAATCGAGCCATTTAACAACAGTATCCTGGGTCATTCCTTGGACCCCCTTCGAATTTTTAAAAATTTGGTAAGCAAAGAAAGGTTAGTGTAGTTAAGAAATAGCCAAAATATTGGCCTCGTAACATTTATATTTATGGAGATATTAGGGTTCTAATGGGCAAAAATGACGTATTTTTACCATTATCTGCCTTCATTCAATGGGGCATATTTTAAAAACTACGTAATTGTAAATAACAAATTTAATATCAAAATTACGTACAAAGATTCAACTTTTCAGATAAAATTTTTTTAAATTTTTTTTTCCAATTTCCGGTCATTTTATTTAATATGCAAGGACCAAAAACGATTTTTTTTGAAATAATACGACCTTCAATTTTTATAAAAAATTTAGTAGACATTATGAAACTCTTCCTTTATATTTATAAAAAAAAATTGGCCCGGGACGCGGCCATCTTCATTCTCAAAATCGATAAAAATGTTTAGAAAAGTGTATAAATATTTTCCCGAAAGGGGGCGTCTTTGTATAAAATTATATATTAATGTTTCTTGAACTATTTGATGTAATTTAAAGGATTATTCATCTTGTAAGTGAAAATAACAATAAATGGGGCTTTCATTCAATTACAGAAATTGTCTATCGATAAAAGAAATTCAATTTTGTTAACTTTATTTATCATTTATTATAAATTTTTTTGCCCATATAACATATATTTAATGAATATTAATAAAATATGCCCAACCAAGTTTCGAGTTCTTGAATATATGAAATCTTGTGCATTTCATATATAACGCCAAAAAATAATATCAAAATATTTGCTACTCAATTTTTAAAATAATTTAATATTTGTAAAATATTACAATTATTTATTCTTATGAAATTATTATGTACAAAATAAAAGTATTATCATCATAAAATGACCCAAATCAATATAAATATTGGATCGAATTTTCTAAAATCGGCATATTGACAAGTGTCGATCAAATAGAAAGATTGTTTCTTTCTAAGGACATCAAATTTATAACATACAAAATGGCTGTCCGTAGATAGATCCACTATTGAAACAATAACCCAACCAGTAGGTGAATTTATCAATGCCTTTTTTGAAAAAATGGAATCTTTATTACTCCATTTTTTTATTTCAACGCAACAATCGTTGTATCAAAACAATCTAAAATCGAACTTAGACGAAGACCAATATTTAATTTTATGTGATTTTTAAGAAAACTATAGCTTTATACTTCAGGATGAAGTACAAAATTATCATTGGAATAGGGCTCAATCCACTGCTCACCCATTTGTTATATATTATAAAGATAATTTTGCCAATATTTGTTGCCTAAATTATGTAATGATATCCGAATCATTGCAACACAATACAAAGCAGTACATTATTTCCAAAAAAACATTGGTAAATTTTTTTAATTAGTAAAATTTGTATGTCAAATAAAAATTTTTATTTTTCCGATGGATCCGCTTGCACAGTATAAAAATCGTAAAAAATTTACATATTTACTATGATGAGATAGATTTAGGGGTACAGGCGGAATGACATTTTTCTGCATGATGGGATTGGTGGCACTGTTAAAAGATTAGCCTCTGGAGATACTTTACAAAGGCCTTACTCAAAGTAAATAATCACATCATATGAATTGTACGAGTTCGCTAAAGAAAATATTTATGGCATATATTTTGAATATATGACCCAAAAACATTATGATTCCGAAGAACTATTCTTAGGGAAAGATTTTCAAACTAGACCTATACCCGGAACACAGAAAATTTGCACCGAGATTCCAACAGGTCTACATCAATTCAAAAGTAAAATGTATTCCAATTATATAGAAAGCACTATACAATATTTATCGTATATTGATGAGAGTATAATTTTTGGAGAAATATCTGGATACATACGTGTGTTTATGATTCTAATTGGTGGTTAGCCTTTGTTTTAGGAAAAAATCAAAAGCAGGAAGAAATATATATAAAGTTTTACACCCATCCTGCTTCTAATTCCTTTACATCGACCACTCTTTACTTTCCAAAATGTCATATCTTAACATTGGTTTTACCGTTAACTGCTACTGGCCGTAGTTATACATTGTCGTCACAAGAAAGTAAACGCGCTACCAAAAAATTAGAATCCTTTAAAAGTGAGTTATATATTAGATTTTTAAATTTATATTATATCAATTATTTTTAATATTTAAGGGGCCATATATGAAATGCACAAGATTCTGATTCATATATACAATAACTATGGTTGAATATATTTTATTAATAATCATTAAATATATGTTATATGGGGAAAAAATTTTATAATAAATTATAAATAAAGTAATATCGATAGACAATTTTTAGAATTGAATGAAAGACCCATTTATTATTATTTTCACTTACAAGATGAATAATCCTTTAAATTATACCAAATAGTTCAAGAAAAACCATTAAAAACTGATTAATATATAATTTTGAATAATAATTTGAGTATATTAGTAAATATAAAAGTTTAAATTCGTTTAAATATAGTACTTTAAAGTTTACCATGCCTTTAGACACTGCCGAGATGTTTGATTCTGCGAGAGATGTTATGCTTCTTATAGAGGCTTGTTTGCCGATGGTGGTTAGAGCGCCTTACATCTTAGTAACTTAAGTTACATTGTTATATGGTTTTGGGTTTGCGATTAATACACAACTGGTTGGTTTTTGGTGGTTAGTAGAAAGTATGAAGGTTGGTTCAGCATTTTATGTTGGCCAAATTCCTAAATGTCAGGTTGTTATTTTTGATAATAAAGGAATCATATCCGGCTGCAGTTGGAGATATGGTGATATGCTGATAACTGCCACACATGTGTTGAGCAATTTTCATCAAATTGCGGTATCGTCGAGACGGAACACAAAAATTATTAGAATGTCCGCCGCTGAATCAATAAGCCGATGTTTCCGTGGTAAAAGTGCCAGCGGATTTCTGGTCGTCTCTAGGCGTGTCGTCCGCCAAAATAATGACAGCTGAGACGAAACAATTGGTAACTGTTACGGGGCCATTAAAAACCGAGAATACCTCCGCAGGCTCATTAGCAAATGGAGATGCATTCGGATGTGTACTGTATGATGGCAGCACAGTGGCTGGTTTTTCCGGAGCACTTTATACGAGTGGTACCCACGTGTTGGGTATGCACACGTGTGGGGCCAAATTGGAGTATCTAATTACGGCGTTCATGCTGGGTATCTTAAAACTTTGATTGATGCCATACATGAGAGCGAAATGCCAATGCTACGTAAAGATAGGAAAGTTCAATTGAAAAAGAATAATTTCCATAGCGGTTATGTAGCGTATGATCAAGGTAAGTACATGGCCGTGACGCAGGAGCATTATGATAATTGGAATAAAGAAATGCTCCAGAGTAAATGGGTAGTAGATGCCAAGTATGCAGTTGTTTCTCCTGAGGAGAGAGCCCGCGTAAAAGCGAGACTTGACGTCCCACGTACTAGTTTCAAGGACGAGAGACAAATAGAGAAATAATGTAGTGAAATGAGCGATGTTTTCGTAGATCGCGCATTTGAATTGTTGGATGAAGAAAAGAAACGCCGTGGTAGACGAGGTGTGCCGGAAAGTGTCCCTACCGTCAGTGGAGTTGTTCAAGCCAGTGAGGTGCCTGTTGAGGCACAACAGAAGGTTGAAGAAGTGCCCACATCTTATTAGTAGGAAAATGCATACATAATGGATAGTCTGGAGTGGAGTCCATGTTCAAATTCCTCACCACGGTACGATACCGATCATAACTAAGCTAGTCAATGTTTAATTTTAAAATAAAATACAAAAAGTAAACAATTAACTTTACGCGGCCTATTTAATTTATACACTTTTCTAAACATTTTTATCGATTTTTAAAATGAAGATGGCCGCGTCCCAGACCAGTTTTTTTTTTATAAATATAAGGGAAGAGTTTAGTAATGTCTACTAATTTTTTTTTAAAAAATTGAAAATCGTATTATTTCCAAAAAATCGTTTTTAGTCCTTGCATATTAAATAAAATGACCGGAAATTGGAAAAAAAATAAAAATTTTTTTTTTATCTGAAAAGTACTATCTTTGTACGTAATTTTGATTATAAATTTGTTATTTACAATTAAGTAGTTTTTAAGATATGTTTAATTGAATGAAGGCAGATAATGGTAAAAATACCTCATTTTTGCCACTTTGACCCCTAATATCTCCAAAAATATTAATGTTACGAGCCTAAAATTTTGGCTATTTCTTAACTACATTAATCTTTCTTAGATTACCAAATTTTAAAAAAAATCGAAGGGGGGTCGGCTAAAAATCTCATTTTTTGCTCATTTGACATGGAATGACCCTCATAGAATATGGGATCTTTGGGGAACCTTATTTCGTTGCTGCATCAGAACACGTGCACATTTTTATAGTGCACGTAATTTATTTGACCCCCATTCCCCCCCCCCCCCAACCCTAAACCACTCCACCCCATACAAAGAATAGATTAATTAGAAATACTAAAATCATAAGTCGCTATATTTTTAATAAACCACATTTTAACCTCCCCCCCCCCTTCTCAATAAAAAGGTATTGAATAGAATAGTAAATAGTTTTTGAATACGAAGATGAATTAATAGTTTATAATATATGGATGGAAACACTGACACTGATATATTTCAATTTTTTACGGTCCATAACCATCAAAAATAAATAAATAATATAGTTAAGAAATTACTCAACGCCTTATAGAGACGTGTCCCCGATGGAAGAAACAAAATTTTCTGGCTTTTATATCGCTCTGTTGGACATCTGCGGTCTTTTATTGACATCACCTTGTCTTTTAGACAACGTAAGGTGCCTTTTCAAGGTTTTAAAGGTAAACGAAAAACATTTCTTAACCATTTAAAATTATTAATTATCAATGGGGATAAAAAAAAACTATATAAGTCATTTTGGTTAGCTGCGAAATGGATAAAATTTTTCTTAATTTTTTTCAGTTGAAAAATGTCCCCCCCCCCTTTCCCTTTTTTTTTAAACGTAAATTGTTAATATTTGTTATTCCTATAGTAACATAAAAATTTTTGATTGGATGACGAAAACTTTGAAACATTTTGAAACTTAAAATCGTATATTTCTTATGTTCACGATGTTATGTCGGAGTACCATATTAGAGACCAGATGTCGGTAATGGACGGGTTTTAAACAACAAGCCCACCCACCGTTTTTTAAAAAATTTACCAGCACGTCCATTTACCTAAAAATTTTGTTTAACCCCCCCCCCCCCTCCGCCATTTTGTCCAACCTCCCCCTAAAAATAAATTAAGTCTGTTCCGCTCATTTCACCCACAGAATATTAAAAAATTAACCTCCACCCACTCTCATTACTTAAAAATTTTTTTTTAAATTTAATCTCCCGCCACTAGTCCAATGTTTTAAATATTTTACGAAAAGCCGCCCACGCTGACTTAGAGAATACGTGGGCGAGTGGGCTAAACCACCCTATTGCAGACTTCTATTAGAGATCTGGATACAAATTTATTTTGACTCAACCCCGCCTGTAGTAAAAAAAAAAAATCATTTTCCCACTCAACCCGAAGCTAAAATGAATTCCGTATTCCCAATCTAATCCGACCCGATTTTTTTTATCGGTCCGACCGAATACTACCCGAAATATAAATCGATTACAATAACCCGGCACAGTCTACGGGTCGGTTGCTTGGGTTTCGCCGGAATTTTTGAACATGTGTTATATTTTATTGACTCCAAACTTTTTGAAGAAATAATTAAAAAAATTTTTTTAAATATTTGGCGCGAAACTTAACACCCAGATTAGCGGCTACGAATTGGAATGCTTCGAGAAAAGGAAAAACAAACTCAAATTACTCACCAATTCCTCTCAGACCCACTATTTCAGTTCTCCGCTAGATGGCCTATTCAACACTATAAAAGACAGGCTTTTATCTAACGAATTGGATAGGTTTTTTAAAAAAAATATTTTTTTTTGAATGATTCGTTTTACTTCTTTTTAAAAATATTTCTTTGTTTAAGTTAGTGTTGCTAAATTGCTCGATTTTTAAAAACAGCTGGCCCAATATTTTAGCCAAAAAATATTGCGCAAGTGTGCACAATTTTGCTCGTAGGTGGCGGAGAGGTTAAGACATTTATTAACAAAAATCTCCTGACTTGCTTAGTATTATTTTGGCTAAAATCTTCACTCAGAGTTGGCTAAAACCGAGCCATTTAACAGCACTCTTCTGAGCCCTGCTAACTTATAGGAATACGTTTTCTTTAAATCACCTCTTCTCACGTTGTTTAAGAAATCTCAAAGAATACCTGCTGCACATATACCTCCTGAAGAACCGGAAGTGGGACATAATGGAAAATTTTTTGGAGATCAAGAACCCTTCCTGCTTGAATCCTACCGGAAAAACTGCCGATACGGATTACAACGTGTACGATGCCAATAACGATAACACATCCTACATTTCTAAACCTAAAAATATGACCAGGGAAGATAAAGAACTCTCCGATTTGGCTCAAGTAATTTAAAAAAATAATAATATATATATAAAAAAGTGAGGAAAAATAATATAATAGATCTATGGCACTTTTGAATCTTCAAAACAAGACAATTTTTATATATAAGAAAAATGTATACACAATTCTTTCACTATAAAATAAAAAAATAGGAAAATTACGGGGACCGAACCAAAAGACCGATTACGATAACCGGGTCAGAAACCGGTCTTTTGGTGCGCTTGGTCTAAAGGGCTAATTATTTATTTTTTCTTTCTCCCACCACCTTTAGGGAAGGGTACTGGACGAGCGCGAAATAATTATGGAAGATGAGGCCATCTTTTTGAGGGAACAGAATCTTGACGTTCTCAGCGAGGAGGAAAGCGGAGAGGAAAACGATCGAAAATTTGACGATAATCGGTACCACCGCGGTAACCGCGAACATCAACGGGGCTCTCACGATAACTCGGAGATGGGAAACGACAGCCACGATTCGGAGATCGAGAACGACAGCTTGAATATCAGACCATCTTCAATCAATGGTGACAGATACAATTCGAAAACAAATATGACATTTGACTACCGTCGCAAAGGGGACGATGAAGGAGAGGACGAGTAAATTTCAATTTAAACTCCATTTTTTAAAATGAATTAATCGGAATAAACCGGTTTAATTAGTTGATGGGAGGGGGCGGGGGCGGGAAGTGTTGTTAAACCGTTCTATTTGAGCCGGTTTTTAAAAACGGATAACTGTAGCCAGAAAAATATTGTCTAATTCTCGAGATTTCGCTAATAGATGTGCAAACCTTTGTGCCACCGATGAGGAAAATCTTAAGGCTTGCACTATAGTTTTCTTAATAAAACGTTGAGTTAGCCGTTTTTAAAAAAATCGGTGAGCCGTTTAACGACACCAGGAGGGGACGGCAAATCTAATTTACGAAATTAGCGGAAAATATAAATATTAATAATAATTTTTTTGTTAAGGTTTTACACTCCAGATCGCTTATCTACCAAGTACACCACTCCTACTGGCATGTTCAACCCAAGTGAATCCGAAAATCTCATCCCTCTTCACACCCTAAATTCGGAAGAGAACAAGGATTACGATAGATTCCAAGCCGATATCAAGAACACTAGGCCAGATGGCGATAAATAATATTATATATTATTATTTTTTTGATACTTTCTCAAATACAAAATGAATGCACCATTTTAATTCTTCTTATCCCTGACTTAGTATTAAATTTAATTATTATATTGTTCTATCTTTTAAACGTAGTCCTTATTTAGTAATATTGTAAATACATTTTTTTAAATTATCTAATCTATTTCCAATAATATTTGATGTTTCGATAAAATAACAAAATAAAAAATAGCAAATATACATTATATTACTATTATTATTACTCCATAATTTTAATTATTTTTAAAATCTACGTAATATTTTGATTATCTATAAAAGTTGTATTTTTTTCCCCTTTACTTTTGTGTATCAAGATTTCTTATAAGAGAGCATAATTAAAATGTTTAATAATAAATTCTTTTATTTATATAAAAAAAAATAAATGGTAAATTAAACTTTCGACTCGAATATTATTTATTATGCAAATTTTACTATATATTATTATTATTATTATACCTATACAAATACACATATATCGTACATTTATTTGTCTTTTATATAGCTTTTAATAATTGATAAATAAAGTATTTATAATTATCCAAAATTTGGGTTTTTTTATTAACCTTAGATTTAACGGGGAAGATTTAAGGCATCGCCCTAGCTCATCTTCTCTAAGCAGCTAGGATTTGTGATCTTCATCGGGCCTAATTTTCCAAACCCGGCCCGAAATTATAAGAATAGGACCGACCCAGTAGTGTTGTTAAACGGCTCGTTTTGAGCCGATATTTTGAGACGGCTAACTCAATATTTTAGCAGCCAGAAAAATATTGCCTGACCCTCGATATTTCGCTAATAGGTGTCTCTAGACCTTTGTGTCATCTACGAGAGCAAACTCTTCAGACTCGTACAAATATTATTCTGGATAAAATATTGAGTTAGCCGTTTTTAAAAATCCACCCGAACTGAGCCGTTTAACAACACTACGACCCAGCCCGAACCGAGACCCCGCCTGAAGTGATTTGCGGATCTCTAGCTATAGCTAGGAGGGTACCCTCATTTTTAGGTATTTTTGGTTTTAAAAATACATTTTTTATCGTTAACTCAAGTTGCAACTTATTTTGAGATGCCAAAAATGCTTGCTTGATTAGCTTAAATATTAACATTTCAACTTTGTTTTTCAACTTCGCCTAATTAAGTCATGTCATGTCATCGATTCGGGAGTAATTCGTTAATAAAAAGTAAAATTTTTTTTTGGACACAACGCGTTTATAAAGGTTACGCTATTTGAATTATGTATTATAACCTTCTTACATTTAATATTATCTTACGGAGGTCAATATTATTGCATATTAAGTAGAAGTTAAATGACATAATTATAAAAGACTATATATAGGAAACAATTTTATAATAAAGAATCTATTGTTTTGACTACAAAAAAACGCGATAGTATTTTTTTCTTTTTTGTTGTGTAAATATTTTTTTTAGAATTTTAATTTGTAAAGTAATTTGAATTTTGTAAGAATATTTTTTAGATTTAGTTCGATTAAAACAAAAGTTTTTTTTGGGTGAAAAATCAATATAAATATCGGATCGGCTTTGAACCAATATTGGGAAATATCGACGGATAGGTGAAAAATATGTGAATCGGCACAGTCCTAATTAAAACTCTGCCATTTTTGTAGCAACGTAATTTTAGATTAAAGTAAATTTTTAATATGCGATGGGTTTGTGTTTTGATAAGTAATAAGGTTGCAATATTTAAAGATATGGGTTATAAAATTTTGTATCAAAACCTTAATGAAATGGATATAGGCCAACACTTAATTACTATAGGGATTAATCTTTAATTATATAATTATAATATATAACATTAAAATTTTTATTCGGAAAATGTACCTTTGTTGTTACAAAGGTATATGGTAATTTGAAGAAAGACACTCTGGTGTCGGCTGATTGTTTAAAGAAAATTTCGGACTTGGAAAGTAGTTTAAACGTTTTAAATGAAATCAAGAACGGCAGACCAGAAATGGTGGAAACGGTGAAATATAATAACGATGATCGTTCGGAGTTGGTGGAGAGATCTGTGGTTATCCTCCAGGAATTGGGAAAAATGAAAGATGTGATTAAGATTATATATCAAGATATGCAAAAATTGATTAATTTGAATAGTAATGGGGGTACCAGAAATGTGGTCAGACTGGTTCAAATGGAAAGAATATTTTCGACGAAAGAAATTATTTTTCCGGGAACAAAAAAGTTATTGAAGATTTGAGATGTACCCGCTGTGGTTATAAAGGCCACAAGGTAGAGAGATATGTATTGTCAAAGAACAAAATTTTCGTGAAGGTTTTCCGTTAAGGAAATCGATATTGGAAAATTCGAATGTTAGAAAAATTTATGGTATTAACACGAATAAATTTGAGGAAATACGATCAAATTATGGTAAATCCCGGTTGTGTTTTAAGTGTAACAAACCGGGACATGTGGCCATGAATTGTGCCGAAAACTGACTATATGATTACAGGTGTAGTAATCATATAATGGGTAGGAGGCCGAGAAATCAAAATGTCAATAAATTGTATAATAATGCTGAAATGAGATATGATTCTCATGAAAGCCGTGGTTTTAATGAAAATTTTTTTTTATCATGATGATAAAATTGAAAAATAATTGTAAAAAGGGTATTTGTGAAATATCTCGATAAAAAAGATGTTAATAATTTCAAATGGGGAAAATATCCTAGTGATATTGCTAAAAAAATATCAGAATATTGTGAAAGAACCTCTAAATTCCGAGTTGAATTTATGTTCGAATGTGAATTCTAATGAAACTGATGTTTCTGATGGAATAAATATTGATCACTCAATTCGAACATATGAGATTTTAATGACTGAGAGATTAATCGAACAATGTCCTTGTCCGAGAGTTACAGTAAGAGTTGACTCGAGGGACATCGATATGTTGTTCGACACGGGGGCTAGCGTTTCAATGATGTCTAGGAAAAATTATTATAAGCATTGGCCTGGGGGTATACTTGGAAAAGAATCTATGTGTGCCAGACAATTTGATGGGTCTGAAATAGTAGTTTTGGGGAAAAGAGTCATTCTCAATGATACGACATTTTTCCTGGATTTATGGATAGTGAAGAAAGATGTTGAAACCAATATGGGATGGGATTGGAATTATCAAGCTATGTCCCTTCAATAATTATTGGAATATTTTTGCAATACATAATGACTCGGCCAAAAATGAGGCTCTAGAAACAAAAGTATGGCCCATGATGTTCGAGATAAAATTTGTGAGATAGAAGGGACGGCTTTAACCGTAAAAGAAGGGGATTCAACCGTTAATTCTGATATGTATGTAATTTCAACGGAATTAATGGTTGACTACAATATTAAAATTAATGAAGGGCAAATGGTTGCTATTGAAATTAACGAATTACATAAAATGCGTGAAGGGTACATCTCTTTTAAGGGGAAAATATGGGGTAATTTTTGAAGACACTTTAGGCTGTCTTAATGATTAGCAAGTTGGATGTAGAATTAAAAGAGAGATATTCGCCTATTTTTTTTAGCGTGTCGACGGGTTCCTTTTGAATGGGAGAAGGAGATCGAAGATGAATTAGACTGTTGGGTCGAAGACGGCATTATTGTTCCTAGAGAATATAGTGAATGGGCAACTTGGTTCCCGTGAAGAAATCCAATGGAAAGTTGAGGTTATGTGCTGATTTTCGAGTCACCGTAAACCGTCAGGTTGTGGATGTCAAGTATCCATTACCTAGAATTGAAGAAATTTTGGCCAATTTAAAGGGTGCAAAATATTTTTCTAAAGTTGATTTTTCTTCGGCATATTTACGATTGCCTTCGAAGGAGAAAATTCGTAAACTGTTAACGATATCGACGCCTAAAGGTTTGTCTGTCTTTTGTAGATTACCTTTTGGGTTACGCGTATCAGCGCCTATATCCCAGGGTACAATGGCATCGGTTTTCCAGGGTTTGGAAGGCGTATTTTATTACATGGATGATGTGTTGATCATTGAGGCAACGCCAGAGCAACATAATCATCGTCTTGAAGAAGTTTTTATGGAAATTAGTGTTAAGGGCTTGAGAGCAAGCAAAGGACAACAAATTAATAGGATGGAGGTGAAACCTTTGGATAAAAATTTGAAATATATGTCGAATATGAAGCAGCCAACTAATAAGGCAGAAGTTCAATCGTTTTTGGGTATGGTTAATTATTTATTACCATAGATTTTTTTTCATGATTTTGCAGAAATTGCTGTTCCTTTATATAGATTATTGCAAAAGGGAGTTCTTTTAGAATGGACAAGGGAACAAAAAATTGCATTTGAAGCATTGTAAAAGGAAAATGGGAAAGAACCTATTTTAGTCTGTTTTAGCAACGATTTTAGAAATAATATTAGTAGCGAATGCTTCTAACAAGTGTTGGAGGGGCATTATTGTATTTAGTTGATGGTTTGGAAAGACCGATTTTATTTTTTTTCAAGAGTTTTTAGAGAAATGGAAACGAGGTATTCTGTTATTGAACAGGAGGCCTAGCATGAATATTTGATTGGCAAAAAATTTGTAATTTTTAACCACCATAAACCCTTAATTCATTAATTTAAGAAGGATAATAGGGAGTTAATTCCTAGATTGCAACGTTGGTTGTTGCTGGTGGAAAGTTTTAATTGGAAATTAAACACCGGAAAGGGAAAGAGAATCATTTGCCTGATATTTTGTCTAGATTAGGTTCTGGCTGTGCAGATCCTGTAATAAGTGATAAGATAAGTATTGATAGAGAGGAGGCCTTAGTGCGTACTCTGTCATATATATTAAAAGGGGGTCCTACCAATTGGGAGGATCTGAAAGTAAATACTTTGAACGACAACGATATGAGTGGAGTAAAATTGAGTATAACGGGGGTGAAAAAAACTTGGAAAAACAAACATGACTCTTATAAAAAGGTACAAAAAGAATTGTCAATTGTTGATGATTGTATTATGAGGGGAAACAGCCATAATGCCGTGTAAATTACTTAGTAAAATTGTGGATTTATTACATGCAGAACATCAAGGTCGAGACAAAATGAAATCTTGGGCTCGGGAATATGTATGGTGGCCTGGTATGGACAATGATATTAAAAGGATTACAAGGAAATATGTTCCTTGTAATACATGTGCACCTATGCCCCGTAAAGAGGTAGGTCAAATGTGGCCCCGATCAAAGAAATTCTGGGAGCGTCTCCACATCGATTTTTTTGATCTTAATAAAAAGTCACACTTTTTAGTGGTAGATTCGTATTCAAAGTGGATAGAATATGCAGAGGTTCAGGGTTATACCACCAAAATAGTTATTAGGAAATTACGGGAATTATATGCCCGATTCGGTTTGCCAGACACGATAGTGTCTGATGGGGGCCCAGCCTTCGTAAGTGATGAGTTTAAACAGTTTTGTGCTGAGTCACAAACCCAGCATATTCTTGAGCCGCCATATCATCCCAGCTCGAATGGACAAGCTGAGAGGATGCTAGCAATTGTTAAAAGTTGAATTAGAAAGGCTGGTAATCATAAGGATGAGGAGTACATGTCTCAATTATATTACCTTAATTCTCGCAATCGAGAGGGGGTTACGCCCGTGGAGTTATTTTCAGGTAGAAGAACACGGGGTCCCTTAGATTTCCTGAAATCAAAAGGGAATGTTATTGCCTCATTGGGAGAAAAAGCAGGGACAAGATTTTATGTGGGACAAAAATCTGGGCAAGGCTGTTTTATAATAAGGAAAGGAAATGGGAAAAGGGAAGAATCATACAGAATATGGGATCAAAATTAAATCAGGTCAATTTGGACAATGGGGTTCTTGTGGTGAGGCATAACGATCACCTCAGGATTCGGATGTAAAAGAAAAATATTTAGAAGGCTTAGGAGCTACGGATAAATGTATTGACTGATATATAATCGGGTTATATTCCGGCTAAAAAAATTTTTTTTTCACCGGCAATGTCTGCCAGATGACAGTATCGATAAGTTATTTTTTTCAAAAGAAAATTTTTTCTCTCTTGTAATTTACATTGTTGTCCCCCCGTTTTATTTTCTCAGTATACGACAACTGCAGTAACGAAAAGAAAGAGAAAAGATGCTGAGATTTTTTTTTATCTGATTTGGTGTTGTGATCCTACGTAAAAAGTACATATTTGTTGGATGGAATATTCTTTGATCGTGATAATAACTCTATGAAAAAAAAGAGGAGAGTTACTAGTAGTGTTGTTAAATGCCTCATTTTGAGCCGATCTCAGTTTTTTATCCAGAAAAAAATATTATGCAAGCCTGAAAATTTTGCTCATAGAAGGAGCAAAGTTTCTAGACATCTAGTATCGAAATTTCGAGTCTTAGTCCATATTTTTCTGGCGAAAATATCGAGTTAGCTGTTTTTAAAAATCGGCTCAGAACGTTCCGTTTAACAACATTAGTTACTAGTAGTAATAACATTTGGTAAAAAAAGAAAAAGAAAAGATTTTTATTTTTATGTAATATGACGATCAATTGATCGATAAAAATGATTTTTCGATAAATATTTTTTTTTATCCAGCCTTCTCCTACCTATTTTTATATATATGAATGTGATTTGTGCTGCAGAAGGAAAAAAAAATGGAAGTTGCCTTTAATTTATAATTAATTTTATCAATTTAATGATATATAAGCGACTACACAGTTGACCATTATTGTATAAAATATGCAATCATATGCTCTCAGCAGCTGTAATAAGCTTAAATTAAATAGCCACACAAAAAATAGATGTTGGTTAATTTGCAGTCATAGCCATGACGCTAACGATGTTAACTCATATCAGAATTTATTATGTTAGATAAATGGATGAAACAAAAACACCAAAAATCTAGAAGATATTATGCAAATATATTGAAGCCTTAAGTTATTTACACGGCAGGGATGCCATATTAGAAATAAAACATTTTGTAACTATAAAATAAGAAAAAGTGTGTTATGATAAAAGCAATTAAGATATTATATATAATTTTCGCACCACCTCTAGTTGGTATATTATATCTTAAAATTATAGTGGCTTGTAAAAATATCAAAAATATACTCGTATTAAAAATTTAACACAAAACTGTTTTTCAAATATGAATAAAATAGTTTTCCTAATAACACGTAAAAAAGGGAAGAAAAGTTATCTAATTTATTACATCCAGTGGGATGAATAATAAAATGTTAAATTTTAATAATATTTATAAATAAATAGATGGCGTTAAATATTTGAATGTATATTATTACTTATATTTATTATCAAGAGCATTTATTAGTAAATTAAAATATTAACTGTAATATATTATTAGCTGTCAAATACGTTTGTAAAAGTGACATTTTACCTAATATTCTATAGCCAATTATATATAATAGAGGATTATAAACTATATGTCTACTTCTTTTTATAAATGAATCTCTTATATTTATTTGGATTTGGACCTTGAAAATAATTTTAGGAAGAGGCATGGTAATTAAATTTAGAAATCAATAACATAGTTAATTAGTGATTTTGAACTAGGCTAATTTCAATATTAAATTTGTTAATTTTTAATTAATATTTACTTAATTAGGGTTATATAATAATCTATTCTATTTTTAATACAGAAATTTAACAGTGAAAATATAATTTATATGTATTAATCTAATCTAATCTAAAAATTAAAATAGTATTCATTTAATAAAAATTTAGAATATCTTAATAATTTTTAAATAATAAAATTAAAAATATATATTACTCAATAGAATTATAAAAGAAATCGTTCGGGCAATTAAAATTATTTTTAGTTCAAGGGGATACTAAGGAGCCACAAAAAATTTTTTTGCTTCAGGGGGCTATTCAAATTTTTCAGGGGGCTCGAGCCCCTGTGCTCCCCCTCCCCCCTAGTGACGCCACTGATATTACCATATCTTTATAATCACATGTGATCAATTATAATTCCAAAAATGTCAACAAGAAATTGCGATTATTTTGAAAACAACGTATTCCCCATTATCAGTCCGATGTACGTATGATGACTCTTGTCAAGCTAGTTATCAAGCCAACGATCATAGAAAATTATCGTTTAACCGTTCGGAACAATTCCGATACGTATGATGCGTCTTTTTAAGCTATTTATCAAGCCAACGATCATAGAAAATCATCGTTTACCCGATAGTTTTGGAACAATCCTTATGGATATCCATATTCTTCACTATGAAAATACAGGTGTTCAGGAAACCATTCTCAGTTTGACGATTAAAAAATATTGCAAACCGTCATTATTCCAATACGTAATGTAATATTATATAACTTTCATTTCCTGGGGTTAATGCCGCTGGCCCATAAAGGGGTGGCATGTCATCACCGTCTTATTTTTTATTGATAAATATATATATATTTATAGAATGTCAATCAATTTTTCATGAACATTTGTTTTTTTTATTCGATTTTGTGAAAAGATGATAAAATTTCTTAAATTTGATGATAATTTATTGATTTTTTTTTTAACATTAATAAAAAATTTCTTGAATTCATGATGAAAATTTTGGATGATTGACATTATTTTGATTTTTAAGAAATTAATATTAAAAAAAAATATTTTGGTAAATCAATAAAAAATTTGCTTAAAAAATTATTATTGAAAATATTATCCGTATTAAATTTCAAGTGCTCTCCTTCGCTTCTTTTTGTATTTGAAATTTTATTAATAATCTTAATTTTGTAATCTTCTTTTTTTTGGGTGGTTTCTTCTTAATTTTGTCAGTATTTCTAAGCTGAGTTAATTTTGTCGGTTTTTATAAGCTGAGCTTTTTGTTAGTTTTATAATTTGTAACTTTCCTCTTCTCATTTTTTTTGTTTATTTTTAATAGATATCATATTTATTCTAGTGTTATTAAACGGCTCCTCGTTTTGAGCCGATTATAAAAAACGGCCAACTCAATATTTTAGCCAGAAATATATTGCCCAAGCCATGGGAATTCGCTAATAGATGTCCAAACCTTTGTTCTTTCTACAAACAAGATCTTTAGGCTCGCGTAACATTATTCTAGATGAAATATTGAGTTAGCCGTAAAAAATCCGCTCAAAACGAGCCATTCAACAACACTAATTTATTCAACATATTGTTTAGTTCGAAGTGGAGAACCAGAGAATATTTGTAAAGCTGCCAAGTCGTAACTCATCTTCCGTTGAAAAAAGTTCAGAAATTTTGGGAATATAAATTTAAAAAAAAACCCAATTGCACTTAAAGACACAAATACTTAAAACTAATTGTTATTAAAATAAGAACCAAATTATTTTATATTACCCCATATGTAACCATGAAAGTGTCAAGTGGATGCCATTTTTTTTTTAAAAAAAATATAATTTGTAAAATTTTTTTAATATAACTAAATAAATTTACTAATATAATGATCAAGATTAAATTTATTGTATATTTGTTATGATAAAATTTCGTAACCCCTACTCAAAAATTGATTATATTCATATCGGCAAACCTTTCCAATTTTGTGGATAATAAATATCATACGAAAAATTTCTATGAAATTCATTGGATGAGTTTTTTAGAAAATTTGAAGGGCAAATTGTTAAGCCACCACCATTTCCCAAGTCTCTCAAATAGGCTCCCCACCATCCATAAGTGCCTTGTGTTAGAATCGTATGATTGCAAGATGCTAGTATGGCTAAATCGTCGATGGGCGAACTTCCCGGGCAAAAATATATATTGTCGATATTTCCCAAATTTTGGCGGGACCACTCTAAATCATCGCTACACGCTATAAACGCGAAATGATGTTTCGAAGATTTATGGGATTTGTTATCCTTGCCAAAATAACGCCTAAAATAATTTATAGCTTTTTTCATGTAAGCCAATCCCGTAATGTCCTTGGTTATCTCTATTCCATTTGAACATGTCCGTTCTTCTAACGTGAATGGATACGAATACCAAATGTCGGTCATTTGACTTGGCATGGCTGTTAAGGGACTCAAAATAACTAGCTTTTATTTTTTTCCAAAAATTTGTCAGCTTTCGATTTGATGTTGTCCCTGAAAGTAAACTCTCTTTTGATTTCCTCTTTATATTTTTCGAAAAATTTATACGAGTTTTAGGGTATCCCGTGAATACATTGTATCCCTCCTTTTTTACTTTATCCACTAGTAAAGTATTGTATGCCGGAAGATCGAATTTTTTAACTCCACTCTTCGATCTAGTGGAAGCAGAATCTTTGTAATCACAAGTTATCGGCAATTTGAGCATTTCCCGATGACTTAACTTAAAATAATGGGAGAATATTTTCCCGTCTAAATATCCATCTGTTACCAATATCGTCGGAATTTTTCCCGTGTCCTTCGCCAGACTATATATCGCGGCGTATTGGAACATTATATTACCTAATCGCCCTAACGCCTCCCATCCAATGTATCTGTCATCTACATCACAAGTCATTGTCGTTTTATTTATGTCTTTAGTAATATTTGTGACTGGCATTATAGACGGTTTTTCGATGTAATTAGGATATGAATTATTCATGTTACGAACACCTGATGAAACAAATGAATAAGTATATAACAATTCTGGCCTAAAATCCTCGTGTTTAACGAATGATATGTTCAATTTCTTGGGCCACCATAGATGAATCCTACAAATACTAAATGAATAAAGGAACAAGACTAGACAAATCAAAGATATATGCGACAGCTTCGCTTTTCTAGGAGTCATGTTACAATATTCGTAAAGGGGAAATGCCCCTGCTTTATGCGTTACCATAAAATCTTGCGGATATTTTCCTTCAAATGCTTATTTTAATTCCTGGAAATAATGATTCTAAATATAATTATCATTTTTTATATTTAAAAAAAAAAATTATTTTTATAAGATTTGATAAAATTTTTAAATAATATTATTTGTTTTTAATACACTTTTCTAAAAAATTTATTTACTTTTTTAAATAATCACATCGATCAGCAGAACTCATAAAACAAAAACAAACAAATATTTGCTTCGCAAAGCATTTAATTTTGAAAAAATATAGGATAATTGGTGAACTTGAATCCTAAAATTCGGATTCGGTTTAAGGTCGGTTGAGTTCGGATATATTTTTCAACCCGGGTTCAGTTCCGGGTTCAGCTCTGGTTTAAGAATTTTTGAATTGATAAAAAAAATAAATAAATAATTCTATTATTTAAATCATAATTTAAAAACTAGACATAAATTTTGGTATAAAAAATTCATTTTTTTTATTTTATAGGAAAAATATAGTTAAAAATTCAAAGCAGTCATGTATCAATTTTAAAAATTTTGTTTCGACGTATTTCTTTAAATTAAAAATATCCGATATAATAATTTTTAACTTTGACTTGTTCACTTTCATTTTCCTCGAATTAATAATCTTCGAGAATAAGTTAAAAATTAAAAATAAATGGCGTAAATGAATTTAATTGGTTTAAAATTTATTAACACTCCAATAGGAATCTTTGGAAATAAATTTAAAAAAAAAAATTTAAAAATGGCGTAAATGAATTAAGTTGTTGTTTAAAATTTTATTAAACACTTCGCTTAATTGGAAAATTTAAAAATATTTATAAAATTTCGATTAATTTTCATTTAAAATCATACGAATATCTTAAATATATTATTTTAAACAATACACTGAACCCTGGTTTCAAATAAAATTCCCGGTTTCGATTCGGGTTCGGATTTTTTAAAAAACCCGGGTTTTTCTCCAGGCTCGGTTTGAATCCCTGTATTCGAACAACATATAAATAAATTAGAGGCGCACAATTATCAGAATTAGCAACATGTAGGATGTGCCCATTTTCGGAACGGAAATTCGGATATTACAATCTTTTCTTTGAGATAGCGGCAATTTGAAAAAATGTATCGAAATTGTATTTTTTTTAAAAAACTAATTTTTATCAAACGAAACATTTTAACAGTTTTACCCATAGCCGTTTTACCCGAGGAAAGGCATTTAACACACTAAATCATTATATTGTTTGACTTTTAACCTGAAAATTTTTTTTGGTAGTTTTTATTCTAAACGTTATATGGAAGGTGATTTATATATTTATATATATTTAAATAAATAAACAAATAATGCTATAAATAGGTAGTTTTTTTTTATCATTTATGTTTTTTTAAAAAAAAATAAATTGTTTTTAAGCAAATTCTATCAAACTAAGGAAGATTTTTCGAAAGATTAGCAGAGGCTAGACATTTGATCACACGGCGAAAGCATCGCCGCGTATTGAAAATCCACGCCACGTTATTCTGAAGATTGATCAATGTATCACGTATTGGCGATTCCAAACGGACGATAATAACAATAACACAACTCAAACGAGATCAATAAAGATTTGGATTGGTTGATCGTGCCTCGTTTAGCATATCCGGCAAATGATACATATTCTTAGGAAATGTTATGAAAAAGGATTGGAAAACATTTCACAAAACTATGAATCGGATTCTCGTTAAGAGGGAATCAATTTTTTTTCTACTTCCTCCCAAATTTAAAAGAAACAAAGTTGAATTTATAATCGTTTTATTTTGTTAATTTGGACGATTTCATTATTATTCTAACAAAGAAACGGTTATTTTACCTCGATATTTAACGAGAGAACCAAAATTATCTATATATATATAGCAGAGACCTTCAGGCCGGGCCCGGGTCACCTTAAATTTTTACAAAATCCGGGCCGGGCCGTTTCAATTGGTAACCTCAGCAGGTCTCCGATATATTGGTTCAATAAATATCAATAATTCCAAACATTTACAACTTTGGTATTTTTTTTATATCCCCTAATATTTATTACAATAAGATCACGGCCAACCCTATTGAAACCCATTCTAATCAATCTATATTGATCTTTCTCCAATCCCTACATAAGTGATTTGATCAAATTTTAAAAATGATAAATCTGATAACCAATGAAAATATGTTTCACGTTTTTTCAAAGAAAGTAGAAGTTTTTACAAATAAATTGCATAACTCGATCTTATAAAATACGCATGCGCAAGGTGGTAGACAGCTTATTCAGAATTCGAAAAATATAAAGGGGAACGTGATATACTTAAATAAAAATGGTGGCCCTATCAAAACAGAGTATCAAAGAATTACACATATTGTAAACAACACCCAATAATCGTTTTTCGAAATTTTTATTTACATAAAAATCGGTTACAATAATATATATTTATTCATAACTTTTTAACTAGAGTTTGTTAAACGGCTCAATTTTTAAAAACCGGCTAACCGAATATTTTAGCCTAAAAAATGTTATGCAAGGTCCCAGAATTTCGTTAATAGATCTCACCACCTTTCTTCCATCCATGAACAAAATCTCTAGACCTTTTTGAGTAATATCGATGCCCAGAATATTAAGATCAGCCGTTTTTTTTAAAAAAAAAATGGCGCCGTTCAACAACACTACTTTTACCGCGAATGTTATATATTCATAAATTAAAAAAAATCTAGAGGTAACTACGTTTTGGTTGGCTAAAATATCTAAACTATAAAAATCCACAAAAAAAAAATAAATATGTTTTTTTTAGAAAATAAGTTTATGATTCGCAAAAAATGATTTTTGATTTTCATCGTCCTTTATCGTAACCCGGAAATAGGTGGAGCAACGCTTTCCTCAGATTTTCGTTGATCGACATTTTGTAATTTTTCCCTAAATCTATTCGACACGTAGGACATTTGTGTATATCAGCCTTGAACGCTCTCTCCAAACATTCCTTATAAAATTTTAAAAAAAAGTTTGTGAAATAGTTTATTTTTTTTTTATATTTCCGATTTGTTATCTATTCAGCCAATAAAAATTTGGTATTCACGTGACACTTAAAAAAATGATAAATAATAAACATTTAAGAGTGACGTTTTTATTATATTGTTTATTATTATAAATATTTAAAACTATCTATTGATATTTTACGCAAAGATTTATATAAATTTTAGGAATTTGGAGTTACGTCAAAAAATAAACTTAGCCTATTATATCGAAAATTATGAAAATACGAAAATTTAGAAACAGATATGCTGGAGGTGGCGCCAAAAATAAAATCTCAAAAAAAAAATGCAATTCTTTTTACAATAACAAACAAAAAATTTAAGGATATTTTAAGAAGTCCCCCTTGAACATAACTCACGGAACGTAACGCCAGAAAAGCTATATCAGAGATATTAAGTGAGTATTCTAGTCCTTTTTTTCGGTACCATCACCATGTATCTGACCTTGACAATCCTTCGAGTAGTTTCGTTCGTGCTTAACATTCTAAATCTTAAATTTTCGTTCCCAGGCCTGGAATCGTATTCGAGCCTACCCTGGTAACATCCCGGATATATAAAAGTCAGATCCGTCCTTCGGGATTGGAGGCAATATAATGCTTGAGCTTTATTTTTTTTTTATGCCGTTGTAATGTTCGCTAAAGGGTTGACTTATTTGGCATACCCATCAATGTATTATAATCGCTTAATCTTGATTTCGTCTCTGATATAGCCTTTTTTCTGGCATTAGATTTGGGAAATGTCACATTCACCACGAGTATGTTCAAAGGCGACTTCTTAAAATATCATTAAATTTTTGTTGTTATAAAAAGAATTGCATTTTTTTCTGAGACTCTTTGGCGCACCCTCCAGCATATTTGATTTATTTTAATTTGTTCTAAATTCCGTATATTCATAATTTTTGATATAAAATGATAGGTTTATTTTTTTTTAATGTAAATCGAAATTCTAACAATGTAATTTAATAAAAAAATAAATATTCTTTAATATATAATAATATAGAAAAATTGAGCTATATATTATATAGAGAGAGAAATTCATAATATCATATTATGAATTTCAGATAATTTTGAACTATTTATATATATATGGATTGTTATATCATGTATCTTATAAAAATAAACCCAAAAATATAAGAATGCTATTTTTATGCTGAGTTTCCAATAAGAATCCATAATTTTTTCAAAGATCTCTATATTGTTTTTAGGAAAGAATAAGAAAATCTCTTGGTCCGCTTGAGAAGGTCCTAATTTTGAACCTAATGCTGAAAATAAGAATATTTCTTGCGAAAAATGTATTGGTACAAAAATTGGGTTGTTGATTTTTTTTTTGTATTTCTTAATCCTACTCTGTTATGCTGATATTAGTGGATAGAATTTGATCCAATAGGAATGAGTTAGACATAAGTGACGTCCCAAATAAATTACTTTTTGTTTACAAAAAGTGTTCACATAGTCTGGACCGCCAACAACGCCACGCCTCATAAATACAAATAATTAGTAAAAGCCTAAAAGCAGCTGACAATCCGAACATTCTCGAACCTACAAATCTGACCAAAATCTCTTATTATCGCTTCCCGGAAACCCCAACTCAAAAATAGTTGACCCTTATAAATAGTGTTTTTAATATTTTTTTAAACTAAACCAATGACAATATAATATGACAATGCATCATCCATTAAAATCATACATCAATGAAAACAGCTGGGGATGCCATTTTGATTACCCATATGATCATTACTATTCCTATGTCTAAAACAAACCTTATTTAAGATGCACCTGACCATCGAGATAATAAGGAAGCGTGTTATTAATTTTAATAGTAGTTTTTTAACACGTGATGGAGATCTCTAATTCACAGGTCATATTCCTGACATGGAATATAATTCCTGGAAAATAAATTTAACTCAAAAAAGAAAACACCAATAATTTAAAGTTGCATTGGCGCTAACATTGTGCTTATAAAATATACTTTTTAAATTATGATTGACAAATTTTTTTTTTTTTTAAAAAAAAATAAACTTTGCATATATTGTGGTTGCATTTGGTCGTGATTGGATTGCAAATCAATTCCTTGCAGCAGATGCATTCGAAATTTTCTGTCACCCTTTGCAGGAAGGGCTGAATCAAATGATAATTTAAAAAAAAAATATGATTAATAAGCTATAATACTGCAGCTATGGAAATCAACAAAGATCAATTAGACGTAGCTGTTGTAATTGTGTATTTTTATATGATAACTTTATATAATATCTAATGTCAATCAAATAATGTTTAAGGCTGCATTCAAAGTGGAGTCGGGTCCGTTTTTTTTTACTTCCGTTCCGTCAAAAGTCAATCTCATTAAAAGTGACATATATGTTCATATTGCGTCCATTCCGATACCTTCCATCTTAAAAAGGGATCGGTCTCCACTTAGAAATGCAACCTAAATGTAGATTAATATCTTATGACAATGAAATGATATGGATGTAAGACATCAGTCAATCACTATGGATTAGTGAGATAAAAGTGAATGATCAAAAAACCTATTTTGCCATGTATGATAAATAAAATTATATGTAGGACATTGTGGAGTTATTTTACGCCTACTTAAATAAGATTAAAAAAACAACTATAGAAAAATAAAAATATTTAGGAGTATTTTCAGCTGAATATACCTGGATGCCATCCTGGAGGAATTCCATGCAATAGACCCAAAGCTTGCGATTACATGTATCCCCATCTATAGTGTTTTGGATAACGGGGGGCAATTTAAAGGTGAACGCTAATTTAGGTGCCTTCTTGATAATACCTTAGTTGTATGAGCGATTTAAAAAAAAAAATTTTTTTTTTCCTAGAGGATACATGAATTATCAAAATCTGTAAACATGATTTTAGAATTTACATTGTTTACAAACGGAGAGAGATTTATTAATAATGGCGCAAATACTCAATGCCATGGACGTCGAATTATATTTATTAATGCAAACTTTTAAGGATTCTGTATCAAGAAAAAATGGAGGTCCAATAAAGGAATTCAGCCAAATCTCCCGCCAACCTTTTCGATCCCAAAATTTGGCGCCACAACCAGTTAAGAATCGAGATCGTTTAATATAAATGATAGGTAGTGAAAAAGTTTTACAAAACATATTTTGGAGTGCCCGTAAAATTATATATATCAGAAAACTTCGTATAGGTCGAATTTTTGATAAATTTTTTTTAGCCTATCTCTTTAAAAATTTTTTTTTTTTTGTCATTTTCTATTAGGATTTAAAAATTTTTTTTTGTTATTGTGTGTTGTTATATCGTTTCAAGTCCATTTTACAGTCCGCTAGCAGGAAAAAAGTTGAATCATACTTTTCTCATTTTTAGTTTCCAATTCACCCTTCGCATCTTTAGGATCGACTCCGTCGTTGTCGGAAAGAACGTCTATATCGTTCCACTCGTCGGAGTCTTCCCGTTCACCCGCCTCGATCTTAATATCGCCAGTGGCATCGTTTTCGCACAAGAGAGGGGTATCGGGACCTGGCAAACCTTTACTCCTTCTAGTTCTACTTTTAAGACCTCCCACTACGACTTTCATCAATTTGTGTTTTGAATCGCCATTCAAGTTTTCTTTGCCAGCGTCGATCCTGATATCAGTCTCGTCTCTAGCTAAATTTCCTGGGTTAGAATCGGAGTCTGACTTAAGGAGTTCTTCTTGGAGCGCTTTTTTATCTTCATTGCCTTTGGTATAACCTTCTGGATACTTTTTGGGGTTTTTGAAGAAGGATAAGATTAAAAAATAATACCAACCAAACAAATCTGTTTTTTATTTTCATAAAAAACAGATTTCATTTATAGATTAATTGTATAAAAAAAAATTGAGTTTTTTAAAAAAAGCGAATATGATTAAAAATTAAGCAAACCAGCAGAGATTCGAATAGACAATTTAACACAAGTTCTAAGTAAAAATTAAATAAGTAATCCAGGAAAATAAAATGTATTAAGAAGAAATAGGCTAAACTTTATAAAGAAACAACAAAACTCCATAAATAATGAGTGAAATTTTGATCTAAAATATCTAAGGATTCAGATAATACACATACTTTTCTGCTATAAATTATAAGAAAATATCTATCAATTCAATTCAATTCTATCAATCTATCTATCATCTATCTCTTATTACGCGAATAATAAAGAAATTAAGTAACGACTGACTTGAAGTGTCAAATTGAGTTTAGAAACGAGTGCTTTGCCTTCCTTGGTCCAAGGGGCTGGTGTGGTATCATCCCTCCTCAACAAATATCTCCAAACTTTGTAACCTGCTTTCCCTGTCTGAGGCCAATATTTCACAACCTAAATAGTACATAAAGAAATAAGGTATTTAGATGCTTACTTAGATGAATCAGTTTTTCTATTTTAACATTATTACTTGGTAAATAAAGTTCAAGTCAGTATTTTTGAATAGACTTAGGAAGGGTATATGAAAACATGGATATGAATATATGATCAAATTAATTATCTTATGTGCAATGATAATATTTTAACAATAGTACGTCATACACAGAGTTAATAAAGGTGGGCACTTTTAAAAAGCAAAAAAAAACCCCTTACTATATTTTTGAAAGTTTCAAAGTGTAATTAATTATAGCGTTCATTATTCATCCATAATTTAAGCTTAATTAGCCCGTACATTTAACTTGACAGCTAAGTTATTATTATTATTATATGAAAACAGTTGGCTCAAGTTACATTTAGAATATATTTTTTTCTTCTTTAAAATTGTATTCCTACTTGTAATATTGTCAAAATAAGAGTATAATGTTTAAAAAAAAGGATACATGTATAAACCAATGACATTAATATTAATGTAGACTTTTTTTTAAAAAAATGAAGATACATTTAAGAACTGTAGTCAATGTTACTGGCTTTAGCAACCACCAAGTAAACAAAGATTGGTTCCTAAATATACTTCAATATTGTTTTTTTGGAACTTTTTTTTTTACTGCTGGCCATGGCCAGGCCTGATCAAAATTTAAGGACTAGGAAGGGGTCTCTGATGCGTGTTCAATTTTTAATTCATTTTAATGACTAAAAACGCCATTGAGAGCATAAATACAAGATATTTCACATTTTTACACGGTTAGTGCTTGTTATACCGCTATAAATTAAAAATATCCGCTAAATTGATAAGAATTTTTCGAAAAGTAATTTTTTTAAACACTTTTATAACACTATTGTTAATGTATTTTTTTTATCACATTTCCAGTAATAATTAGATTCTATTAAACTATCCCCAAGTCTGAAACGATGATAACCTCTTACCGGTGTTGTTTAACGGCTACGTTTTGAGCTTATTTTTTAAAAAAACGACAAACTCTCATCCAGAAAAATATTAGGCGCCAGCCTGAAGATTTTTTTCATTGAAGAAAAACAAAGGTCTCTAGACATATATGATCGAAATCTAGAGGATTATTCTGGCCAAAATAATGAGCTTACTAGTGGTTTTCCTATTCCTAAAAATATGGAAAAAATTAGACTTTTTTTTCAGAATCAATATAAATTTTTTTTGCCAATTTAAAAAAAAAAAATCTATTGTTAGTTGATCGTTTTTCAATCGCAACCAATCTCATTTTTTTTAAGATATCTTTTTTAAAGATGCCATAATTTCATTAAACTGCTTCTTGGGTTCGGTCAAATTTTAAATGTACAGCTAAATATGCTTAAATTTTGGATGAACACATATATATATAAATATAAATTAATCAAAACATCCATATCCTTTAATATCATTCCTCAAGGGGGTTAAAAAAAAATCAAAATTAACATATCGTCGGCTGAGTATTATATTGTCCTAAATCCACTATTTTTTTTTTTTACAAAAATCAACGACCGAAAATATTTAAAATATAATTTAAAAAATAATCCTTTATTTGTATCATTAACACTGTGATGATCTCCTATTTAAAATAAAAGAAATGTACAATTATTTTAATATTCTCCTATAAAATTCTTTTTAAAAAAAATGAAATATTAAATAAATGTGTAAAATCAACCTTGTATATACCATCGTATCGATTGCCTTCTTTGGGTGAGAATTTGGAGAATTTCCTAGCCTTGTAATTGCGCACGACTCTAAGGGGCAACCCGGCTCTCCAGTTATTAGCCTCCCCGCCGATATTATCGTTAAGGGGGCAGTCACAGTTCTTGGCTAATGATCTTACAGATATAGGAAGAAAAATTATTTTGAATTCTATTCAGTGATCCCCAATATAGCAAATAATGTTTTACAGTATGGTTGGTCTGAAGGAACTAATATCACCACCCAATCGGATGCCTTCTCTTGAGATCAACCCCAATTTAGGTTGGCTTTTACATCACCGTAGTGGAAATGGTGATCATATTCTATCCCAGATCACAGGGAACATTTTAGACCTCCGGAAACTGCTCAGAGACGTTGCCACTCCTCCCGCCATGTTGAGAGGCAGAAGATAGGATATTGGTGATAAAATTGATAATGGGCGACAAATAGCGGGGCCCAGGATAGTAAAAGGTGGGGTTAAGGGGAACAAAAGGTAAAACTGGCTTACCCAGGTAAATCTGGAGAACCGACAAAAAACGATAAAGAAGAATACGAGTTAAGTATCCAAATACATGTATACTTCTCAGTGATGTTGCTAGTTTATCAACTTCCATAATTTTGAAGATTAGTACCAAAACGGGGAAAGTAATTCTATCCTTGAACGAGTAAAAAAATTAGAAAGTTTTAGAATCTAAAATTTGCAAAATCCTTCAAAGGGTCTCTAAAGTTTTCACGGGATACTTGGATATATAAATTCTGTATCTAAAATATCTAGAAAAGGTATCTGTATCGTTATCTTTTTAGAGATGCATTTGAAAAGTATCTGTTAACAATTGTGATTACAAAAACATTCGATCAAGAAATAATGGCGTATATTTGAAGGATACGAAAAATAGAATACTCGATGGATGAGAAGACCTCCTTATAAAAATGAAGTTGTTAAATAGTTAACATCGAAAAAATCGATTTTTTTTTTCTTAAATGACATTCATTCATTTAAAAAATATATAATGATGGGCATAATAAAACTTGTTGTATTTAGTAAGTTTTTGGTCACAAGATTGAACAGCTGTCCGCTTATTTCCCGACAAGTCCCTTCCACCGCTTCCGGTATAATAGAATTCATCTCCGAAATCCTAACATTAAATCGTAAAAACGTCAATATATACATATAATAATAATAATTTTATTTTTTTTTATAAATTTAAATACCTTGGGAAAGTAGATAAATATAATTTTATTATTTAGTTTTCCTAGAGGAACATAAGAACAAGTAGTGTCGTTAAAAAGTCCGATTCGGGTAATAACAATATGTAAGCCAAAAGATTGCACATAGCTAGCAGAAGTGCTTAGAATTCCATTTGCCAAATCTCGATTTATCGGACCGGTTTTGAAAAATCGACCCAGATCGATTTTTTTTCAACAATACTAAATACAAGTTTCTCCTGGTACCTATTCCAAACTCTAGAAACTCTCAATATAATTACACACAAGCACAACTAGGCTCTAAAAAAAAATGTGAGTGTCACCTATAAGAGGATAATGATATGTGACGAATTAAAAAAATCAAAACTTCGTCATCTTCGTATCCGCCAGAAAAAACGATGGAATAAGCTCCTTCCTCTTCTCTTCCATGAATTCCCGCCACGTGAGGCCTATGTACTCCGCATTCTGATACCTTCATCATAGATTATTTTTTTTAAAAAAAAATATTGAATAATTTTTTTTCCACCCGGGAATGCTTTTTTTTATAAGATTAAAAACGATTATGATCACTTCCGGAGTTAATATTCATTCATGGCGATAAAAAAAAATAATATAATAAATTCTTTACCTGAAGTCGAAATTTCCAAGAAGTGCCAACACTGATACCTGGAATAGGTCCAAAGTGATTGGAAGGTACAATGGTACATATTCTGGTCCTACCAACGCACGCCATACCCTTAATTATTAATAAATTATTTAGGTATATAACTTTTTGCATGACCTCACCTCTCCCTCTCAATCCGATATTTAGCTCAATTTAGCATGTTAACTTCAAAGAGATTCGTTATCTATCTTATTAAATCTAAGTATTACTTCTATTATAGGACAGATGTGTTTTTTTTTAAATAATATGATTTCTTAAAAAAAAATTGGAATGTTAAAACAAGGATAAATTCTGCATGTACAAGTAGAACTTATTAAGTATTATTATTTCTCTATCAAAGACAACCATATGATTATAAAATGACAGGAAAATGGTGGATTTGGTGTGGGGTTGATTTTATACGTTATTAAGACTAGGAACCAGAGAATGAGTGGTAGGTGAAAGGAGAATATTCCAATTGACAGAGAATCTGAAGACGATTCAATGAACAACAGGATTAAATAAAGATTGTATAATTCGCTACTTATTAGTCGAGGGGGAAATGAATGATAACCTCCTCAGTCCTCCCAAAATACAGGAATTATTTCCAGAATAGATCTTGACATGTTTTAAAATAATGCCATTATAAAACCATGAAAAAAATAATTGTGTCCAGCATTTTAAATTCCAAGTAATTTTACCTTGCCCCAATCGTGAGAAGAATGCAATCTTTTGGCCGAATTCGCTAGGGCATCTTTGGCTCGCTTATTTCTCGTGCTAATATAAAATTCGGTATCCGAATCAGAATCGTCGCCCGCGGAAGCAGCCGAATAATCGGAGGCAGAGTTGGCATCTTCACTGGCGGAACTCTTTAACTTACCGGAAGTGTTGCATGTTTTCGAACGTTTATCTCTTTTACGCTTTTTAAAAAGAAAATAAGATAATTGAAATTTCAAAAAATCAGGCCTTCAATTAGTTAGTTATAATTCGCTCTTCTAGTAGACATGTCATAATACCTAGACTCTGACGATGCATTCGTTAAAAGTATACATCAACGAAAAAACAGCTGGGGACGCCATTTTTGATTGTTCATATCATTATCAAAAACATTTTAAACGAGAGGCCAAATTATTCCTATGTCAGAACGCTAACTTTATTAAAATTGCCTGATCTGTTCTTAACATGAGAATAATTGCCAAAAAATGGTTTACGAAAATGGCGAGTCCAGCTGATTTGCATTCAACTACGCCTTCAAATGGATCATCATGAATGCGTCATCAGTTTAGGTATTATTATTATTATATGTTATTTGGATTTAATGTAATTTAACAAAAATGGAAGTAATTTATAATAATAGGTGTAAAGATAACATTAAATAATTTAATGATTATTTTTTAGTTGAGTGATAAAACTAATAGGCTATCTTTGTTTGCTGGATACCTCCATTTAAATATTGTGAATTAGAGACTCCTAGAAATCCCGACCCTTATAAAAAATATCATAACGTGCTAGGAAATACGTACAAAAAAAAAATCAGAGTTGATAAAAGATACTTTTTAAGATCTAGATACAGATACATCGTCTAAAATAATATCTAGATACAGATATTTTAATCAAAAATATATCTAGATACAGATACCACATTTTTATATCTAGATCCTTTAACAACTCTGAAAAAATAAAAGGGTAGAGTCTGGCAATTCGTGTACAGAGGAGAATAGAATGGAGTCAGGCCTCACAAATCTCTGATTTTTGGATAAAATTTCAAAGTGCCAGATTGGGCTACTTGTTCAAAAAAAATCTTAATGGATGGGGCCTTTCAGATTATCTGTTGTATATACTATTTAAATATAAAAAGGTTTGCATATATATACCTTTAAGATAGACTTCAACAGTTTTCCGCCATCTCCGGGCTTTATGATTTCATCGGAGTCCAGCTTGCATGCGGGACAATACCTGTATTTTTTTTTTTACAAATTCATACGAATCGTTTATTTAATGCAGATAAGGTTTGAAAATAAAAGATAAAATATTAAAGATTTAGATCTTTGGCTGAGAAGATTTTTTTTGCCACTTGAGATATTTTCTGAATCTATTAAAATTTTTTCAGAAGCAGTTTAGATAAAAAGATCAGTTTATTTTAAAAAAACTCAAATTTGATAATTATAGGTGAAACATCTCATAAATTTTTTTAAAATTTTTATTCATTTGAAACACTATGAAAATTAAAAATACAATTTCAAAATTGTGTTCCCAAAAAGGAACCATAATTATATTTAAAAAAATTTTAATCTAAATTTTAATGACGTATATATAAAAATTCCTTAGCTTCGTTTGTAAAAAACCCGGTTTTTTTGCGAAATGAAGAAAATTATTTCTTTTTAAAGATATAAATATAAATATAAAAAATATTAGCAAATTATTTTAATTTAGTTTTGAAACCAATCTTCGTCAGATAGAGGGAAATCGTCTGGGTGCATAGGAGGCTCCAGACAGTAGGAATGGTAGGCTAGGTCGCATTCGTCACACATGATCTGTTTGTCCAAATTATTTTTCCGGCCACAAACCGTGCAATGGCAATCTTTGCAGTTCTTCTTCGGATCATCTTTGCATTTATCGCAACCATATTTCAATTTTCCTAGGTGTTTAAAAAGAAAGAGCATATGATACTAATTAGATATATTAAAATTGATCATGCTATTGTACACAATAATTGATTAATTCATTTAAAAAAAACTTATATATTTAAAAATAAATGTGAAAACTGAAATATATTATGCTCTTCCAAAAAATAAATAAATAGAATTTTCCGATTCTATAAAATAAATACGGAAAATTCGAATTCTTTTCAACACCTCTAGGAAAAATGAAAAACATATTTCAGCTATTCCCATGCCATAAAATTTTTGATTATTACTTAACTGCGTAACATAATGAATTACACTTTCAAATTATTGTAAAAAATTAAAGTCATTTTTTTAAAATCAATAAATAATTATATTAATGCTTTTGATAAAATTATCTCTAGTCACATGATCTATGAATCCACTACAATTAAACACTAAGAAGTGTTGTTGGGTAATTGATAAATTGAATCGTGTTCCTATTTTGCTAAAGTAGATACATCCTTGATCAAAGTGAAAGGATCTGATACACTTGCAAAAGGTACTATTCATGATATATTATATAATAAACATTATAGACAGAAGGGAGCATATTGCGCTAAATATAATCCCAAAACCATAATAATCTTATAACAGTAAATTCAGAAAAACCTTATATGAAATTTGGATATCACCAGTATATTATACATAGTTTAATTTGAGCCATTTTTCAAATATGTTTCCATGTAAATTGAAAATATTTTTTATAAAAAATATCACTATGGTCAAAATGAAATATATAATAAAGAGGCTTTTCGAAAACCTCGGGAAGTATTCTAGCTATTTTTTATAATCATATTCCATTGATTATTTATAATATGTCACTATTTGATTCTAGAATTTTCTGTCTTGAATATAGTATATTTTCTCATTATAATGTACTTATAGGTTTAATTGAATCGTGTTCAGTGGTATCATTTTGATCCTGAGTTTTTGATTTGTTTATCTCATAGATTTCCTCGCAAAATTGGATTTTACAGTTTGTTAAGAATTGTTCATCGTTCCTTTTTATTGTGTTTTTTTAATAAAATATTTTTTTTTGTAAATACTGAATTAAAACTATAAAATAAATGACAATATTATATTGAATTTTAAATTTAAATGATTATAATCAGATATGTACCATATAAAGTTTAGTATTGGACCCATACTCATTGTGTTGGGTACTTTTTATCTTTTGCTAATACCAGATTATCTAACCCTCTAAAGGATAATCTAACAAAATTATATTTTCTTGCAAAAATTATCAAATATTTTTTAAATTCATAGTAAAGATTGTTAATTTTGTAGACCATATTTAATTAATAAAATAGTTTTAAAAAAGTCCTCCCCCCCCTCTTATGCTTTCTAAGACTGTCAAACTGCTGTTTAATAATTTAAAAGGCTTTTAATACATTTAGGTAAAAAAAAAGAAGTTGTAAATTTAAAATAAAGTTTGTTTTAGTGTTTGTTTTCCAGTAAATTCTAAGTATAGGTGGTATTAGCCTAAGAAGTATTAGTATCAGAAAAAAATGGTATTGATGAAATAAACAAATAAATACCCTAGATTTATATCGACATATAGATCTTTTCTTCTGTTGCTCATACTTTTCTTAGAAACAGAACATTCATACCAATAACCTCTATCCTGAGGCTTATCAATATTGTAATTAACTAATACAATTTGGCCAATGTTTAATGAATCCAAGCTTAAAAGATGAGAAGACCTAAACCTGATTGTGTTAGTCATTTCATTGCTTATAGGTATGTCGACTATTTTATCGTAGCTAAAAATATTCAAAATAATATACCATAAAATTATAATGTTACCCAATATATTGCACTTTAATAATAGTTTCCGAAATTGAATTGAGGATATTATTTTTTTGATAAATATTTATAATTACAGATTCAAACCAGGCTCCACTATCTTCATCTTTTACATCAACTGCATCTTTTATCTAAATTATTGTTCATAAATATTTAGTGGATAAAAAAAATTAACTTTAAAATCTCCTGAATTATTTAATTGTATAATGCTTGCGATTTCTTTGTCAGCTATATTGTTATCATCAATTTCCTAAAATATTAAAATACAAAATAAAATCCATCATTTAATTGTATTATAACTTCATTTAATATTGCTTTAGGATTGTCAATTGAGGATAGGATATTTTCTTTAACCATCAATTGTATGATTTCATTTAAACCCACTTCGTAATCATAAAGTGAATATGAATCTTCGAGCTTAAAATATATATGTGGTTTAATTTATTTAAATATAGACTCCTCGAATGTCATATAAAGAAATATAAGATAAAATAAATACTTGTTTCCCTCTGTAAAATAAACGTTGATGATCAACTTCAATCAAAAACTTTTTCGATATTCTCATCTTGAGTTCCTTAATTTTAGTCAGCTTGCTTAGGCCATCAAAAACTTCCATCCTTTTTGCATCAAACGTCCTAATTCTGATCCACATTTAAAAATTTGTGAACAAATTTTAAAATTTAAAAACCGCGGCTGCAAAAATGGATAGAGGTACCATTTAACACATGTAGTTTATAAAATAGTTTATCGTCAGTTCATTTAAAATCGAAAAAAAAAATTAAAAAATAAAGATTTGAACTTTGAGGGTCTACAGTTCGAAAAAAAAAATGAATTTTCAATAGAGATTAAAAACATATTAATTATTTGTTTAAATATATATGTTTTAGATGGTCAACTTGATAGCAAGACTTTCAAATTATTCATATTACTAACATAAACACCAACAGAATTTACTTATTTATAGACATTTAAAATTAAAATCAGCCCTTCTCCTACCCCATAACTTCATAAAGTAATTAAATATTTGCTAATTCCCGGGTATGAGCTTTTGCTTTCTCAACTCATTTTATTAGTGTTAGCCTATAGTAAATAACAGTTTACCGCTGGAGTACAAGTATGTGAGGCTTGTCCACAAACATGTAAAGGACTCCTCATAAATTTTTTTCCAATGTAACCTATTCCAGTTTGATGGAAATGAGGTAAATATAGCATCTGTTAATTCTTTAACGTTAGAGGTAATGGACTTCACATATAACGATTCCATCAAATCTTCTAGTTTAATTATTATAGTTAAAATACCTTTAAGTAATAATATACTCCCTTTTTAGAAAATTTACCTATTGACTATTTAAAAATATATTATATAAAAAAGTCCAATTTATAATAAATAATTTTAAGTCAGATAGATCAAAAATTATTAATTTATAAAACACTAATCTCCTTTACTTTACTCGGTCATTTATCAGCAATTTTTCTCTGATGATTTTATGGGATTCACCGATTTCCGTCTAATTTATTATGCATTTTCGGTCTTTTAAACGTCTCACCATTAAGTCCACTTTATGATATCTGTCGAATCGAATACAATCTTTTAAAGTTAGAAATTTTCCTCTTTATACTTATGACATCACATAGTGTTGTTAAACGGTCGATTTGAGCCGATTTTTAAAGATGCTAAACATTATAGCCAGATAAATACCGCCTAAGCGTCGATATTTCGCCAATACATGCTCAAATCTATGTGCCATCTATTAGCAGAATCTTTAGGCTTACATAATATTTTTTTAGATAAAATATTGTGTTCGCTGTTTTTAAAAATAATCAAATTGAGTCGTTTAGCAACACTAACATCACACTTTGTACATTCTGTTTATAAGTCTCTTCTCATGCGTTGTCATTGTCATATTTTCACTATCAAAATAATAATTAATATTTATATTAATATTTTGCAAATTGCTGGTTCCTTGACAACTTCTAAGTGCTCTTTCCATGACCAAACGCTGTAACTATTGTAATATCCTTACTTTCCAGTTTTTGTGCCATCCTTTTTAATAATTAATATACAATTTTTATTTGCTTTAATTAAACAAAAGCTGTCAGTGCAATAAATGAGACACTACATATTGTAAGAATTTCTTTATTGGAAAATACTAGAGCATAATAAAAATAATATATAAATTATCATGTAAAAAATTATACTTTTGTAATATATATTTTATCTACTTTCTTCTTAGCCATATAAATTTACATAAGGATTATTTAAAATTCATTAGTCAAAATATATTCCAATTATAATTACGGTTTACCAAAATTGTTCACATTACAAAATATCATTATGTAAATAAAATGCTATCTTTATATGTAATTTTAAATTTAGAATAAATGGGCCTATGGGTGTATGGTATTGCCATTGTTGTGTCTGAAAAATATTATATAATATATTATAATCACTATCTGAATGATTAAATAGGCAGTTTTCCTATTTTATGATGAAACATATGTGATAGTTTAACAAAATTTAGTCGAGATACCTCATGCAAGTTTAAAATCAGAAAAGATATTGATTGAGATTGGCTTAAAGTCATATGTACTATAGTCATCTCATAAACCACATCGCAAAAAGATTAATAAAAAAAGTAACGGTACGAAAAACGATGGGAAATCATTTGGGAACATTATAATATTAAACCCCACGGATTATTTATGCCTTATTTTTGATTCAACACAAAAACTACAAAATCTGACTATCAAGGTTATTATGGGAGGGGGAAAGTTTGGACTATATATACAAGATCAAATGGGAGAAAAACATTAATTATGAAAATAATACAAAATATCCACAATAAATCCTGGAGTGATGCTAGATCGACTAAAGTCATTATAAAAATTGCCGCCTTATGAAAATATGATACTCAGGGCAAATCGATATGTTTCTAATGGTATGTTTAAAGCTGGCAATGTCAACTTAATGGTAGACTTGAAATCTAACTGATAACAAGATAAAGCACAAAAAAATTTAAACTTTGTAACTAAATGAGTGTCTCCGTTATAACACAAAGATATAATACTCTTATAATATAGTTCTAATCTTGTACTGTATAAAAATGTGACATTTTACCCTATTAACAGACAAAATATAGAAAAATTCAATTAGTTGAATATATTATACGTCAAGTCCCCAATAATATTCTAAATGCTAGAATACGAAATATGAATAATAAAACATATACACATTACAAATTTATCTGGAATAGGAAAAATATTATATGAATAGGAACCATATAACACAGATTTGTCACAATTACTAACAAAAGAAAAGAATTCAAAAACATTACACATGCTACGAAGACCTACTTGGAAAAAAGTTAGGAAAAATAAATTACCATTAAAAAAATTAATTGTATTTATATAACCTAAGAGATAACACTATATTTAACTAAAGAATATATAAAACATTTTTCATAACATACTATAATACAATTCTGCTATAAAAAAATTGTAGGATGCATATTGTTGGAAAATTTATTAATACTGTCCTTGACTTACCTTGATCTTCCTTAAATGATTTAGGGGGAGGATGTAATACAATAGAAAATATACTTCGCAAATAAAAATAGTTTATCAATAAATAACCAAATAGGTTAGGTTTCTATAAGTCATCCTTGATAACTTAATTTATTTTTTCTGTAACAAGGTTTGCTGGCATCTTTTAAAACAAACCGGTATAATTATTCGAGGAAGGAAATCTGCATAGTTAACGTGGTGGGTCGTAAACAGGGTTGCCATATCCCCCCCCATCAGCGGGAGACTCCCGAAATTTTTTAGTTTACACGCCGATATCTCTCTCCCGCAAAGCTACCGCAATTGGAAATCTCCCGCAAAAATCTACAGCAATTTTTTAATATTTTTACGTATTTAATATATCAATAATAATTTTGTGAGACATTAATTGATTATTTTTATATTTTTATAATAAATTTTAAATATTTATTCGAAAAACATGTCTAGTTTGTAAATTTATTTTTATTTTTATCCAATAATAAATCAACATCATTTCATTCATATAAGTCAGTACAGGGGAGTTCGATTGCAATACAAAAATATTCTCAAAAATAATAAATAATACAGATGCAACTACATTTGCGGAAATCGTATTCATCTATCATGTAGTTCAACATTCACAGAGCTATATCATCACAATGTGGGTCGAATCTTTTTTTCATGATATTTAACGACTTTACTATAAGTGTAAACCTTACTTGTGGCAGAACAAAAATGAACCAAAATGTTTTATTACCTGAATCCTAGAGGTCAATTCTAGACGATATGAAAGATGGGCATCCATATGCAATTCTAACAGACTCATCTAATAAGGGAAATATTAAAACATTTCCCTCGATCCTTCGCTATTTCAACAAGAATAAGAATATTTCAATAAAACTGTTAAAATTTTTTCCCCGGATAGTGAAAAATCCAAAGATGTAACTAGCCACATTATGGTAAATATAGCTGATTCAGGGTTATCAAGGATTTGCATGTCAGCTTTCTGCGCTGATAATGCCTCTGTAAATTTTAGCCAAAACCAAAATTACCGAATTGAGGAAGCACAATAATGAATTAATACCAATTGGCTGTATATGCCATATACTACATAATTCTTGCAAGAAGGCAATGAATGTTGGATGTCGAAAATTGTGATGAAATATTTTAACGAATTTTGTTCATCAATTAAAAGAGTTGGTGAAGTGTCTGACTTGGAATGGTGTGAATTGTTGCGATATGTACCTATCAAGTGCTTATCATTAATACCTGCCATTGTAGAATTAAAATTTTACGAACCCTTAATAAAATATTTCTTAAATAAAAATTTTAAAAGCTGTCCTAAAATTTTGAAAATTTTTTTTGAAGATGAAATGGCAGAAACTTATTTAGAATAAGTTTCACATGTAGGAAATCTATTTCATGCATATTCAGTTGCAATCAAACTATTCTTTATTAAAAAAGATTTACAAAATCATGCTACAGCTCTGTTCATCTCTACAGTTAAAATTTGATAATAAATTTTATGGCGCTATTGCTAAAAATATTATATTAAAATGTTCAAATAATACTCGAATTAATACATTTTTAAAAGAAGCAGATATTTTTATTAAGACAATTTTAAAATATTTACAATCAAAATTTGATTTTAATAACTATTTACAAATGTATAAATATTATGACCTTGAAACATAAACCATCAATTGATGGTTTTTATAATTTAATAAATATATTAAAAATACCGAAAGACATTGATGTCTTGTTTGAGGAGATTGTAATTCTCCCTATTTTTTATGATTCGCCAAAATACTTAAAGTTTGAAGGTCTAAAAGCAGAGGAGAATTTTTTCGTAATAACGATAAATCCCCATGCTTGGAAAAAATATTCAAGTATGCCATCTCCTTACCTCATTCTAATGCCTCATCCGAGCGCATTTTTAGCCTGATGAGGACTGCCTGGAAAAAGTAGAGAAATCGGATTGCTTTAACAACATTAGAGGCCGAGTTAATGGTTAAACAAATATATAATATGTCATACCAGGAATTTTATAAATATCTCAATAACGACGGTAAACATTTAGTTCTATTATTTAAATCTCAAATAAAATGTAAT